ATATAATGGGATGTGTTATGCCATAGGAATGTCGAATAAGACTTCTTGAGGCCAATGTGTTGTCGTTGCGGAAGACAGTGTCGGACGCGAGACACGGGTTGGAGACGAGTATAAGTGATCTGAAGAAGAATGAGAGCAAACAAAAGGACTGCAAAGAGCGCCAGAAGAAGCTTCGGGCGAAGATCTCGGACGCCAACGAGTATCTGATTCGTCGACAAAAGGATACAATAAAACGAAACGAAAATAAAAACAATTGCGAGCTTTTAATCAAAGAATTGGTTCAGCAAAGAGTGAAACAATTAACGACTTATATCTTTCCCATTAATACGCGAGAAGTGATGCCCGAAACCAATGATTACCGTTCAATACTCCACTCGGAAACGAGTCCTTTACTCGAAACCATCTCTATATCAATGCCAACAATCAATTACACTGTAATCGAGCCATGGATTTGTGGTAACGGAGACTATTCTGCGTTCACTCTCTTCGGTAAGCGATTTATTATAAATATAATTATATTGAAATGTATTGACAAATAATTAACAAATTGTTGTTATTTAAGGCAATAACGAAAACCCGAATTTCCCGAACAGAGACTCCAGTTTCCGAAACGCCAGGTATAGGACGTGTGCAGCGCTCGCATACATCACACAACTTATTCATATAATTGCCTTTTATTTGGATATACGACTCCCGAAACGCCTATTTTACAGGTCAGTACTTCGCTCGACATTGCATTCACTCTTGTATTCAATTTAATTGTTTGTATTTGCAGTGAATTCTTTGTAACCGATTACTTACTTTGAGACAAAAGTGTGTTTCACCGCTTTGACTTGCGTTTATAGGAAATAAATACAGAAAGCGTTTTGTAACTAAGTCTTGATGACTTAGGCGCTGTTTGGCAAGTATTACAACAAGTCGAGTTGAACTCGAATCATGGCTTAGGCATCAGGTCTGCCATTTGACTGACATTGTTTCCAAAGGCATTTGTTTGAACCACACTTACTCGATAACATTCATTTCAATTTAACAACACCTAGTTGATTTTTTAAATTATTTAAACCACTGTAAACTAACTCCTATTAACATAATTGATAATATTATTAGCAATTTCTACTAAATTTAATGTGTTTTAAGCAAATTATAATAAATGTTGTCAACTATTGTTCAAACAAATGTCTTTCGAAAGAGTGGCCACACTATCAATGAATACAATTAACATTATGTGTTGTGTTGCTGTACCGCAGGAGTGGTCCCATTGTATTGATTCCCGAGTTTTACAACACAATTGAAAGCAGTCTTTTGGACGACTTGTGTCTAATCGACGAGACAGAGGACAACGGAAACGATCAAAACGACGAGAATTTAATGATTGAATACGATTGGGTTGAGAACAATATTCCCGATCTTCAGCTCAATAACGACGCACAGGTATGTCTCGGTGTCGTGTCTTTTGAATGAAACTCTGTTTTCACACAAAGTGGCGAAACTGAACGCAAATATCCTTTATTTATGTCTTTCGCAAAACATTGATTCAGAACTACTGAATCCGCGACAAACCGTTCATAATGTTGTTCAGCTCTTGAACTCGAATCATGGCTTAGGCATCAGGTCTACCATTTGACTGACCATTGTTTCCAAAGGCATTTGTTCGAACCACACTTACTCGACAACATTCATTTCAATTTAACAATACCTAGTTGATTTTTTAAATTATTTAAACCACTGTAAACTAACTCCTATTAACATAATTGATAATATTATAAGCAATTTCTACTAATTTAATGTGTTTTAAGCAAATTATAATAAATGTTGTCAACTATTGTTCGAACAAATGTCTTTCGAAAGAGTGACCACATTATCAATGAATACAATTAACAGTATGTGTTTTGTTGCTGTACCGCAGGAGTGGTCCCATTGTATTGATTCCCGAGTTTTACAACACCATTGAAAGCAGTCTTTTGGACGACTTGTGTCTAATCGATGAGACAGAGGACAACGGAAACGATCAAAACGACGAGAATTTAATGATTGAATACGATTGGGTTGAGAACAATATTCCCGATCTTCAGCTCAATAACGACGCACAGGTATGTCTCGGTGTCGTGTCTTTGGTCTAATCCATGAAATACAGAATTACTGTTATTATTGAACTGAATAGCAAACGAGTTACGCGAGTGGAGTCATCTCGACGTTCACTTCGATGTGGAGAATCGCAACGATGGCTAACCGCTAATAATAGTGCCAAACATTAACCATATATTTAAAGCAATAAATCAGAATCACTTGAAAGTGTAATGAAGTTAAATATTAATAGATATAATTGTATTCATGTAATCATATGCTCTGTATATTATAAAAGTTGTTCACTTATTGAAGCCTTTATTTAATTAATAAATAAATCAAACTATTATACAAATAATCGTGTAATGAAAATGTAAATTCTCATCTAATATATAACAATATAATGAGAGAAAAATATCAATATTTAAGCGAATATAATCTCTAATATGAAAGAATTGAACACAAAAGTGATTAATTCTGTTTTGTGAATGACCAGTGAATGTAAAAATACGTTTTAAATAGACCGACATGGCAAAGGGTACATAAGGCAGTAAATAACGATAGTTTTTATCCTAATTTCCAAAATTTATCAATAATTTAAAAAATATCCATATTTTCACAGCAATTAAAAAATGAATTACATTCTGTAACTATGTATGTAATATATTAAGATATTAAGTACTTTCAATTGAATTACAAATGAATCTTATTTAATAAAAAATAGGAATGAGTTCAAAGGCAAAAATAATACCGTACAATATACTTAAATTATTTGTGTTATTGTGTCATGTATTGTGAAAATATTTTACTTAAAACACGAATTTTTAAATACTACTCAATTGTGGTAAAACATCAAACAAAATGTTAATTTTTTGAAAATGAATCCGATTAGTCTGACTGATTAGTAGTGAGTCTTCTGAGAGTGACTATTGTTTAAACTAAACTACGATTTGTCAAAGAAATTTCAATAATGATTATTGTATTTTGAGTAAAGATCTTGAAAAGTATGTACAACTATTTATCACACTATAAGTGATTTTAAATATTGATTATACGAGGAATTTGTTTACGAATATTAAAGTTATTTTAGTTATAATTAATGTTTTTAAGACACAAAACATAACTATTTTGACGCAAACGATATACACGTTTCTTTTCATTCATTCATTTGTGTCGTGTTTTATGTCTAATAAATTATTATTATTAGTAATAATATTTTTAATGTTTTAAATTAAATATTATTAACGACAATGAATTCAGAGATAGATATTTATTTATTATTAATACTAATACTGATCTTTATTTATAATTAACCTACTACACTCAAATAAAATATACAATTAATGTTAGATTTTAAGTTTTGCAATATTAGCGTAGTGTATTAGTGCAGATTCTATACTAAATATACAGTAGATTCTATAGTATAGAATAACCTATGTACATGTTATTTCAAACATACAGTTTATTTATGCGGCAATTTATCATTTAAATAATTATGGAAATGATAGGAATGTTTATAAATTCCTCGCAAAAAAATTATTTGTCAATTTAAAACCATTTGTAAAGTCTTGTCAACACATCTGAAATATTTTGAATTATTACTAATTTATTATCAAAAATACCAATGCATTGACTTTCACACAAATATGCAAACAATTTATAAATAAATCTTATAATTATATAACTTATTATTAGATTAGTTTGAAAAGTTTTAAAGATTTGATGCAAATATTCAATATTGAAAGTCATCCCAATTGACCACATTTTGTCAAATAGATGTCTCAATCAAAGAGTGAGTCCTCTCTGTAATGCTTTTGCTACGGAGCTAAAAAAATTGCAGAACTCAAAAAGTACTTGCTGGATTTTGGCAATCTATATACCAAAAGGTTTGTACTAAAATATGATTCGAGACGTATATCGGGATTTTAGTAATAGATCCCGAGTATTTGGGACTTATAACTGTAAAAGAGCAATATTTAAAAGGCTTGCCATTTAAAAAGTACAAAAGCTATTTAAAGAATACACTTAGTTTCTATACATCAGAGTTGCCTTTCATCAGATTTGCAATAGTTTCTATGGTAACGACAAACATATTACCAGCACCTGTATTGAGTGTTAACCGCAAATCTGATAAAAGGCAACTCTGATGTATAGAAAATAAGTGTAATATACCAAATTGTAAAGAACTAAAAATTAAAAAAATCAATTTTTCATATTTCAAATATTCGTATGAAACGTTGATGAAATTAAATGTTTACATAGAAATATATTTAAAAATCATATTAGAAAAGTAAGAAATTTATTTTTTTTAATTTAATTTATAACAAATTTGATGTATTATTCTTTAAAATAGCCTTTGTACTTTTTAAATGACCTTTCCATACAAGCATTACCAGAAGACTCACTCCGATTCAGGCATCCATATTATACAGTATATTATAGCCTAAATTTATAGGATTTTAATATGCAAACAATTGAATTGTTCAAGTAACATTGGTAATAAAACAAATGTTATATTCAATTAAATCAATTTATTATTTTTTATTCTTCATGTGAAATGACAATAATTTTAAAGCTTTAAATACAAATTGATTGATAAAAATATGAATAATAAATATATAACTATCTGATGGCAAAACTAGCGCCCGTTGGCCGGAAACCAATCACTCCAATCACTAATGGTTTCTTTATTTTTAATGAATTGCTCTAAAGTGACAGAACGAGTGGACACGATGTCTGTGGAGGCAAAGATGGCGGCGCCTAACCATGAGTTGTAGTTCGCGGGACAGGGATTCTCATGCAGTTTGAAATCATCGAAATGTAGTTTAGATACAAATCGATTACTTTTTGCCAAAGACTTTAATTCTTGGAACAATCGGTGCCTAAAGCCGGCCAACATTGATGTGCCGCCGATTACTATGATATTAGAGGCCAACTGTCGCCGCGAATCGACCGAACATTTGAGTATAGCGTCAATGATTAGCGTAGGAATAGTGTGTTCGTCGCCATACATCTCAAACAACACCTCACACACTGACTCCCGAAGCGAACCGGGAATGTGTAGCACTCGCTGCCCGTCCAGAGGATACTTGATATCATTGGGCGGACCAGTTATGGCCGACCCTTCCTTGAAGTCTACCTTTTGCTGCGACAGTTGAACGCCTCTCTCGAAAGGCGCCACAAAACAAGTCCTGGTCTTAATGTCTTCCAATAGGGTTTCGTCCAATGGTTCCGATATAACCGACTCTTCTTCGTTGGTATAGCGTATTGTTGCGCGCCTTTGGATCAGTTCATCCATTATCCTAAAATGTATTGATTTGCCGCCCAATGGCGCGAACTGTAACCCATCGACAGCCGTCACGCCTTCAATGACTGGTATAGCGATGGCCTCATTGTAACCGACATCTAAGACCAGTGCTGTCGACACTCCCAAAGTGGCCAAACATACCAAATGCTGCGGCACTATAAGCAACGCCTGAATCTGTGGTAAGCGTTATATTAGAAGACAATAATCCGATAGAAATGAAGACACGAGTCATACATCGTAATGAAAATACAAGACTTTTAGCAATTGATTCCGGAAACGTGTCGAACAGAAGATGGACTCAACAATCACTAGACGCCTGTCCTTTGGGTTTACGGCCAGATATCTGAAGTACAGGACACGGATGAACTGTTTTAACGCCCGATACAGCTCTTTGTCGTCAGTAATCGAGAAGATGTTAACCATCTGTTCATCGGATCAACAGAAACACATGACATACACATTGCGTGTCAACGCATCAGACAATCGCTTACTTTGTTGTTCTTCGAGTCGAAGACCTGGGATCTGATGATAGCTCGCGGCGAGTACTCCGACACAAACCCACATCTGAGGAGAGAAAAGAGATAATTAATGGTAAGACTCTGAGGAAGAAGTGGTGCTTACTTTGTGAAGGCCTGACCGAACTCGAGGACAACGCTATGTTTATCGCTTCCAATACCTATGCCTTCATATAACGGCATTTCCTCACCATTTAGTTGATCCACAAATTGATCCGACAATTGTCACATTCAATGGGCAAAAGAGTTGTCCATAAATAACGTCAATGTTTTGCAGCAATGAATGAAAACATCATTTTTGGGCAAAAGTTTTTTTAGTGACCGAAAGCCGAAAGCAATGCAACAAATGTTAGCCTTTTTGTGATTGACTCGTGATTTGGTGGACAGGAATCGGTGTTTCGGTGACAATGATGTCCAGCTCTGGCGAAACCACTCCCGAGTTTGTGGACAGCGAAGACAGAGAGGACAGGGAGGAGGAGACGGCGTCTGAAGAGCACAGCTTCGAGAATCCCAATTACCGCAAACTATACGCCGCTCTGTCTATCACTTCAATGATGGGACACAACAACCAATCGGTCGCCGATCACGCCGTCGACCATCACCTCAACGGTTCCGTTGGCGGCGCCGATGAGCTGCCGCTCGGTTGGGAACGCCATGAGGACGAAGACGGGCCCTACTTCTGGCACATCCCCAGCGGTCACATCCAAAGACAGGCACCGATTGGTGAGACGCCGGACGTGACGCGAAGGGATTCACTCATATATATGAATAGTTTTGATGATAATATGGATCCAAATAAATGCCACACAAATGGCGACAATAAACAAACCGAAGACAATGTGTTGACATTTGTGGTGAACTCTTTGG